GCGCCTGGCGCGGGCCCCTGCGTAAGGCGGGCGCCGCGACAGGCCGGCCGGTGAGGCGCTGCCGCGGGAGGCCGCGACGGAGCTCCCGGACCCATCATGGGCTGAGACGCGTCCTCTGCGAGCAGGTGCGGTGACCAGAAGTCCCAGGGGAAGCCCTTCTCGGCAGGCCCCAGGGCCCCTCCGCCCCGGCAGGACGCGCCCTACCCAGCCGGGTGCCCTGTTGACCTTCCCACAGCTCCTCCTCGGAGGCCCGCGGACCCCGCCTCCAAACCCGACCCCCAACCCCGGGGATCCCACAGCCCTGACATCTCCCGCAGACCTCCCCCCACACCCCTCGGACCCCAAACCCCGACCCAGTAGGCCCCCTACCCACCTCCCAGCCTCGGTATTTTGGGCCCGTCGCCTGCACCGTGCCTGGGAACGACCCAGCACCTCTGCTTTTCTCTGGTAGAGCAGGGAGGGAGGGGCCAGAGGGAAAGGAGGGGCGGCCCACCCTGCCCCCGCGGCCCTGGCTATCTCTAACCCATCCCTTCTCCCCTAAGCCTGTAGTGAAAGTGACCCTGTCTTACTCCACCAGAACATGCCCGGGTGACTCCCTCCCAGATCTTCCTGGCGGCCTTCCTTGCCCTCCCCAGTGACACTATGCAACCCCAGCGTGACCTGCCAGGCCTCTGGCTCCTGCTGCTGTCCTTGTTCCTGCTCCTCTTTGAGGTGGCCAGAACTGGCCGTCCATTGGTTAGCTGTCCCACCGCCTGCCTGTGTGCCAGCAACATCCTCAGCTGCTCCAAGCAGCAGCTGCCCAACGTGCCCCACTCCCTGCCCAGCTACACTGCCCTGCTAGACCTCAGCCACAACAACCTGAGCCGCCTGCGGGCCGAGTGGACCCCCACGCGCCTGACCCACCTGCACTCCCTGCTGCTGAGCCACAACCACCTGAACTTCATCTCCTCCGAGGCCTTTACCCCAGTCCCCAACCTGCGCTACCTGGACCTCTCCTCCAACCAGCTGCGTACTCTGGACGAGTTCCTGTTCAGTGAACTGCAGGCGCTGGAGGTGCTGCTGCTCTACAACAACCACATCGTGGCCGTGGACCGCTGCGCCTTCGAAGACATGGCCCAGCTGCAGAAACTCTACCTGAGCCAGAACCAGATCTCCCGCTTCCCCCTGGAGCTGGTCAAGGAAGGCACCAAGCCACCCAAGCTCACACTCCTGGATCTCTCCTCCAACAAGCTCAACCTCCTGCCATTGCCTGACCTGCAGAAGCTGCCCGCGTGGATCAAGAACGGGCTGTACCTGCACAACAACCCCCTGAACTGCGACTGTGAGCTCTACCAGCTCTTTTCACACTGGCAGTACCGGCAGCTGAGCTCCGTGATGGACTTTCAGGAGGATCTGTACTGCATGAAGTCCAAGAAGCTGCACAACGTCTTCAACCTGAGCTTCCTCAATTGCAGCGAGTACAAGGAGCGCGCCTGGGAGGCCCACCTGGGCGAGACCTTGACCATCAGGTGTGACACCAAGCAGCAGGGGATGACCAAAGTGTGGGTGACATCAAGCAATGAGCGGGTGCCCGAGGAGGTGGCCAACAGCACGGTGACGGTGTCCAAGGATGGCAGTCTTCATTTCCGGCAGGTGCAGGTCGAGGATGGGGGTGTGTATACCTGCTACGCCATGGGAGAGGCTTTCAATGAGACACTGTCTGTGGAGTTGAAAGTACACAATTACACCTTGCACGGACACCATGACACCCTCAACACTGCCTATACCACCCTAGTGGGCTGTATCCTCAGCGTGGTCCTGGTCCTCATATACCTGTACCTCACCCCTTGTCGCTGCTGGTGCCGGGGTGTCGAGAAGCCTTCCAGCCACCAAGGAGACAGCCTCAGCTCTTCCATGCTTAGCACCACACCCAACCATGATCCCATGGCTGGCGGGGACAAGGATGATGGTTTTGACCGGCGAGTGGCCTTCCTGGAACCTGCCGGTCCCGGCCAGGGTCAAAACGGCAAGCTCAAGCCAGGCAACACCCTGCCAGTGCCCGAGGCGACGGGCAAGGGCCAGCGGAGGATGTCAGATCCAGAGTCGGTCAGCTCGGTCTTCTCTGATACGCCCATTGTGGTGTGAGCAGGATGGGTTGGTGGGGAGATTCTGCCCCAGGAGAGGTAATGCACCCCTGAAGGATATGAGGGGATGGAAGAGAGGGCTGGCTGCCCAAGGGAGTGGGTCCCCCCTGGCCTCAAGGGAATTGGTCAAGGGTGCAACCGCAGGCAAGACCCCAGCCAGGGTGTGCTGCCATGATTTTCAAATACGGATTTATTAGTCATCAGGCAAATGCTACACCCCTACCCAAAGCCCTGGCAATTCTGAATGTGGAGGAAGAGGAGAGTGTCTGCGGAGTTGGGTGGGAATGAGGAAGGGGTGGGAGAAAGAGCAGATTTCCTAAACTTTTTCAAGGTCATCCCTAGCTCCTTGTGAGGAAATCATTTGGGGAAAAAATAATTTTTTTTTTTTCTATCTCTGCCCACCCACACCTGTGAGGTTGTGTGTGTTGGGGCGTTTCCGCAGGAGCCAGCAGGGGAGACGCTGTAGTATCTCTGTGACCAGGAGGTCACATCTCACAGCTGGGGATATTGGAAACCTTTGAAAAAGTGAGTCAGGAAAAGGTTGAGACTCAATCAGTAGCGTGCCCCGAGTTGTGAGGCTTCCCACTAATGCCTTCCTCTTTCCCACGAAGCCCCGGGTGGATGGCTTTTGGCAGGACTGTGGCCCGTTGGCTCATACAGCAACAACGTGAGATGTGGTTTCTGTGCCTGTCCTGGGGCCAGTGGCACCAAGGGGTATAGTATGGAGTGAGTGGGGTGGGCTGTCACAGCACAGTGCCAACATGGGCCGTGTGGATGGGGACGAACCCCCAGCGAGGTGAATTGCCTGGTGGGTGAAACCCTGGCCTAGTATTTGATTCCCAGCAGGCGGGGGTCCTGAAGGCAGAGGGCTTGTGGATGCCTGCCACGGAAGTGGCTTGAGGCCCCTTCACCCCGAGGAGGTCAGCTCAGCCTCCATTAAGCAGCAGCACGCTGGACATACCTGATGTGTGTGTGCCATCTCCATTCGGCTCCGTATCAAGTGCAGGTGGGGCTCTGTTTCCCTGATGTGCTGCTCAGCAAAGGGGGGCGTCCTGGAACAGATGGCCCCGTTGGGTTAGATGGAACTCGGGGTGGATGGAAGGGACCGGGTGTGTGGCTCCTCAGTGCAGCTCCTCTCAGAGATCTCATCCCTTTGGCTAAGCCAAAGTGTGGGATTTCATGGCCCAAGGGGTTGAGATTGGGTGGTCTCTGCCCCAGAATGGCGATTTGGAGTGTGAGGTCAGAGTCCTGCCCCCTCCACAGAGTTGCAAGCAGTCCTGTCACAGACACAGCCAGTGACACTTCACTTTCAGAGGGAAAAGTCCTGCCACTCCCACTCCTGTCAGAGCTCTGTGCAGTTCTGGTCGCCAGGCCAGGGGAGCTTGGAAGAGCAGCCTCAAGGCTCCATTCCTAGACTGCAGAATATTTTAGGTATGAAGGTGACAGCTCCTTTAACTGCTCCCCCTGACTCTGCTGCAGGCCCTGGGAGGTGGTTGCTCTGAGCTTTGGCAAGGGGATGAGCAAGGCAAAGGTGAATACATTCTCGGACGTTGCCCTTTTTCGGTCTCTCCCCCTCCCACCAATTCCCTGTCCATTGGAAGTTCTCCAGATCTTATTTTCTGACCAGCCTTTAGGTTCCAAGAGTTTTTCTTTTCCTGCTGGTGAGGGCTGCTCACTGGGGGCCTGACTGCCGCTGTCAGTTAAGGTCCGGGAAGGGGACTGGAACTCAACATCTTCCCCTTGTATGTTCCTGGGATCTCAAGACTGCTGTCACCCAGTTTTGTTGAGAGGTGCAGCTTTTCCCTCAAGTACTTGCATGCTCGTAGGTACGCATGCTCACCAGTACCTTGACTTCCATCAGGACAGTGATTCCGTAGTCCCACTAATGTCCACTTTCAGGATGGTCTCCATCTATGTGCACAACTCATGTGCATGATCTTCTTGCCCTAGGAGAGACAGTGACCACGCCAGGCTCCCCAAATGCAAACTCTCGTACTTTTAGTTTAACTCCCTGAAGTTTCACTCACATCTCGTGACACTGCATAGCTGCTCTGCAGAGGCTGGAGTTGGGAGAACCACAGGCTGAGGAACGTGGGTGAAAGGGCGATGAGGAATGTGGGGGTTAAAGACAGTGTGCAGGGTCAATAAAGGGAGAACTGGGCCAGTGAAGGGCCCAGAAGGAAACTGACTGGCAGGGTCCTAGGTGTGAGTTCTTTCTATAGGAACTGCCCAGGCAGGATAAGGGCAGGGGGAAAAGTTGCCTGGTTATACCCCAGAGACTTGTGAGGATTTTGTTACTGAAGTTACAGGAACCATGACTCCCTCTGCAGACTCATCAGGGAACCTGGGAAAATCTCATCACCCTGCTGCAGTTTCCGCTCTAGGAGCCGTAGAGGGCTCTGAAAATCTGTCAAGTGGAAGTCAAGTGAAGCAGGCCTTCTGGGGCTTTCCAGCTTCGTTCCCCAGGACAAGGGGCCATTTTCCTCGTAAGCCCTACCCAGTTTAGGGAATAAGAAAAGGCTCCGAGACGCTAAGTCTCCTGTACATCCACTAGTTAGGCCCCTACTCGGAGAGTGGTAGGTGTGCCTGGCTGAGAGAGGGAACTAACTAGCCTCTTCCCGTGGCTTCTGTTGAAAGAACCCAAAGGTAGCTTTCTGCCCTGGGGTCGGGGCAGTCAGCATAGGCAAGCTTCCTGGAACTGCATTGGCAAGCTTCCTGCAGGAAGCTGCCAAGTCTGGTGGAAAGAAAAGGCTGAAAGATCACCCCCTCCCCCAACCCATAAACAGACATGTCTCCCAGGAAGCAGGTGTCCCTGGAGACAGTATGACAGGGCTTTACAATATGTCTGTGTAATTGTCACTTATTTTGTTTGCCTGTATTTACGGGGCTCTAGGAAGGGCCAGGAGAGTACACCCCAGCTGGGGACAGCAGAGTCGATTGATTCCAGTTTCTCTCTGTTCTTACCTCTGTGCTTCCTTGTAGCCGTGCTGGCGAAGCTAGCAGGCCCCCCCCCCACCACCCCCGTGTCACGACCCTATTCCTCCACTGTGTACACCCAGGCTGGCAAACCATGGAGCCTCTGGGCTCTGAAAACTAGACAATGATCATTAAACCTGGCTTGAGTCTCTGTTCTGGCATAGTCTGTGACTGGTTTATTTATCTTTTCAGCCAGTGGGTGGGGTTCAGTCTACCTCAGAAGGGTGTGGTCTGTCTGAAGAGAATACTTACCAAATGCTTTTCTAAGAGGCCCGGTAGAATCCACTTCTCAGCAGCAAGGTGGAGCAGGGGTGAGCAAATGTGTTTTTTTGTAAAAAGTCAGGGTTTAGAAGTTAGGCTTTGCAAGCTGGATGGTTTCTGTTAGAATTACTCAACATGCAGGCCTAGCAAGGAGGCACCCAACTGCATTAATAAATGACTGCAGGCTGTCCAATCAAATGTTATTTGCAGACATTGAAATTTGTGTTTAAATAATTTTGATATAGTTTTTGAGGGTTTTTTTCCTCCAACTATTTAAATATGTAAAAAAAATCTTATTAATGCACAGACTTATAAAATCAGGGCTGGCTTTGGCCTGTGGGCCATAGTTTGCCAACCCAATTAGATTCTCAAAAGAAATGCCACTGACACTTTCGAGGAGAGCTTAAAGCATTCCAAGCCTTGGGGCTAGAGACTGCAGGTAGCCAACCTTTCCTGGGTCCTTGGGGAGCTGGTTTGCCTCCTTGAATTGTTCTCTCAAGTCTTCATCTGTCCTTTTCACTGCATTGTGGGCAAGTGTGTGGACCCGGCTAGAACTAATGGTAGAAGGCAGCTCACTTTGGAAATATTTTGATTATCACCCACACACCTCATGTGGTATTGGTGATCTGCTTACATGTATTCACCCAAGGGCTGGATAATACCAAGAGCGTGATGTGCCCAAGGTAGTGTGTAGACTGGAGAAGTACAAGCCCCATTTTCTCAGTACAGACTCAGCCTACCAGAAATTGGACTGGAAGCTATTCAACTCTGGATATGTAACTTCTTTAGCTAGTTGGTGCTTCTGCAAGTGGTTATGGTAGATGCCGAGAGGGGAGAAGGAAATGGTAGAAGGAGAAAGGAAATTAGAAACGGAATTTGAATAATGACCTAATTTTTGTGTGGATCAAGTATGGAAAGTTGTCCTCTGGACTTCAGTAACAGCCAGAGTAGTGAGGGATGGAGACCCCACACAGCCAGCACCTCAGATCAACCTTGATAGTCAATGGAATGACAGAGTTGTGCAGAGCACCCCCATATTCTACATTGGTTGCGCATTTTCATCTTTTCAAAGTTATTTTTGCTGTGGCTGTCAGGATGAAGCTGTCAGAGAGAACAAGTCTCAGGGAGACTCCTCAGCATCCTCCCCGCCATCATGGCCTGCACCCAGCGCTGTTGCCAAGCTGACAACATTTGGTGACTCTCCTTCACTGAGAGGAAGCCTGTTTACATCCCTCCAGCCCACCTTCCCTCCCCACAACCACAGAAGTTCCCTAGATCTTGGCCCAGGTGGGCAGTGCTATCTGGATTGCTAGTGCTTCCCCTCGCTGCTCTTAGGGGAGGGCTCCTGAGCAGGGCAGTTGGAGCTGACCAGACAGCTGACTGTTAGGACAGAGGTAAGTGTTCAGAGACGGGCCGGCCTAGGCGCTCATCTTGTCGCTCTGATACTCAGCTCCTTCCCTTTCTGCAATGGGAGTTCGTGTGCCACTTACCTTGTCACCCAGGAAACCGTGGTGCAGCTTCCTTTACCCACCCACACTGCAGAAAAGGCTCAGGCCTGTGCAGTGGGATGGCTGGCTTTTCTGGGCTGCTACAGTGAGCCTGTGCCGGATGCTTCCTCTCCAAGGCAGAGAGAGGAAGGCCAGGGCGGCTGCCACAGCCAGCCTCTCCACCAGACTTACTGTTAGGTGGCAGAGATCAAGGGGTCTGGAGACTCAAGACCTGCCTGAGGCCTTCCGGTCTGTGGCCACCTGGTAACTGTCCCAGAGTCAGGCACGGAGCCCTCCAGGGAGTGTTACGGTGCCCTCCTGCACTGGCACACACAAGGCAGTCGCTGCCCCGAGGTTGGATGCATCTGTGTCCAGCATACGTGTGGGGTAGGGCCCCTGGGCACTCTCCCCTCACCTCACACTGCTTCCTCACTTGGTTTGCCCTGGTAAGGGTCTAATCAGAAAAGTCTAGTCCTGCCCTGAGCATCCTTAGAGAGTACCAGGTGATAACTGAGAATCTGCTTTCAAGACTGGGGTGCTGGGGACCCCTTTTCTCTATTCAGTGAGATGGAAACTTGAGTCCTCTGGTACCTCAGAATAGTTTAATCTGCTTCCATGGCAGTAAAAAAAAAAAAAATCACTTGGGGAATTCTGACAAGAACAGGTAGATTAAAAACTGACATTCTCGTTCTCTGGCACACTGGTGATGGGCCAGGCCTCCTACTGGGGGCCATTTGTTTCTGCTTTAGGCCTGGCCCAGTCATGGGCACTGTCTACTTCACAGCAGCTTCCAGGCCGCCCTGGGCACTGGCCTCCCACCTTCCAGTCTCCTCTGTGCCCATGCTGGTGAGAACTGCGATGGCTGGGCCCACAAGGCCTGACGAGTGTTTCATTCCTGGATCCCAGGGCAGAATTAAAAACAATTACGATTGAAAAAAAAAAAAAAAACCCGCTTCTGAGCAGCTGCCCAGCCTGTGTGTCCACTCCAGGCAGACTGCTGCCTCTTCTCAGGCCAATGGAATGGGAAGTATCCTACCGGATTTGAAATTTAAACAGAGCTGCTTTCATGGCGTGTGTGATTGTGTGTGTGTGTGTGTGTTAATTCCAACAAAGGGCTCTGAGCAGGAAACAGCTGTGATCCAGGCGCCTGAACTAAGGAAAGAGACAAGCTGGTGAAGAAGTTGGGTGTCTCCAGCTCTGCTACCCGGGCGTGGGGACCGGAGCATCTGTGGCAGGCGCTGCTGACCACAGGGCCGTGGTGGGCAGCAGCATGCCCTCTTCTGTTGCTTCACTTTCCCCTCCAAAGAGCAGACTTAAGTAGGAGAGATGGAGACCAAGCCTTCCCAGCAGCTCCAAACTAGGACCAACTCAGAACTTCATTCAGGCTGGTCTTAGGGAAGGACAACTGATGCCCAGACTGGCAGCCGGCCCCGGGCATCAAATACCAGGCAGGCAGCAGGCAGCGCCGGCTACTGGGTCAGGCTGGTAGCCTTCCTGGGTGCAATGGCTGCCTCGGCCAGGCCTCCGTGGGGTGAGCTGGCCTGTCACCGTCACAGTGGCCAGCAACACAGCCTGTCTGACACCTGGGTGCCCTAAGCGTTATTACCCGTAGCTGTTTACAGCTCCCTAAAGCAGCAGAAACCCAGGGCTAGGCTGAGCGAGCACGCAGTAAGGATATCACAACACCAGCTGTTTGCGTTTGTTTAATGTCTCGAACTTGTCAGCGCCTGAGAGTATGTGCTCTCTCATCTAACCCTCACAACAGCCCTGTGAGGTAGGTTGGACAGTAAATGATGTGCCCAGAGCCACACACATCAGTGAGAGGCTGAGGTTAGGGGCTTGATTCAAACCCAGGCTCACGGGCACCCTGGCCCGAAACCAGAAGCCTCCCTGCTCCCTAAGCCTGCAGAGGGCCACCAGAGATGCTGAGGCTGAGCCTCAGGCCCAGGGGTGTCCTCTGGAGGCCAAGTAAACAGAAGGGAAGGCAGGAGGACTAGAGGTCCAGTGTCAACCGCCAGCACGGCCACCACCAGCCTCTGGAGGATACACTGTTCCTTACAGTGACCCTTGTCGGGTGCAAGGCGGCAGTAGTGTCCTCAGAGGACTCTCAGTGCCGCTCCCTCCGGAGAGAGAGAAGCCACAAAACACGCCAGGAGGGAGACTTCTGACCCCCCTCCCTCTGATAGGGCCCTCCCATTCTGCTCCAGGAAGGGGGAGGTGAGGCTGGCTGACTCAGCCAGCAAGTGCTGGAGATCTGCAGCTGAAAGGCCCCAACACTGCTCAGCTAATGATTATTATTAACTCTGAGCAGGCCTTGGCACAGCAGCCAGCTGGCTCGGGAGGATGCCTAGATCTCCCACAGCGAGGTTTTAAAAACAAGACCCAGAGCAGCCATGCACGGGGCGGAAGGGTGGGGACAATGAGAGAGAAGGGACAGGCCAGTGTCTGAGCAAGGAGGGTTGTCTGCCCCAGAGGGTGGGGCGAGAGGGTGGGGCGAGGCAGCTGAGCTCAGAGGTGAGGTGGGGAGTCCCGCTTAGACACAGAGCCCCGCCATCTACCACCACCCCCAGTCACGGTGGGACTCAAGGGGAGGGGCGTCTGGGAGGGGGTGCATCTGAACCCGGAGTGGAGATCCTATTACCATGTGGATCTGGATACAGAAATCATCTGATATCCTCAAGGTTGAGTTTAAATATAATCATCTGGAATCAGGACTCAGGGAGCCTGCTATGCAAATTTGTGCAAATGACACAGTTTTGTTTTTAATTTGAGCACCCTGACTTTTTTTTTAAGGCGAAACAGACTGACTTTCCCTAGCCAAGGGCCGAGGGCCAAAGGGCAACCGTTTGCTTTTCTCCTGAGGCCACTCCTCACACTGAGGAGCCCAGCTAATATCCCAGATGGGGAGATGTGGGGAAGTGGGGAGCCGGAGCGTGTAGGGAGGAGGAAACACACAGGCAGGAGGCAGGAGGCATGCGGCCGGCAGCCACCCAGACCCCAGCTGGAGGAAGAGTGCCCTGGCACTGAGGTCTGATGGCTGCCCAGCTGCTGCCCAGGATGTGAGGGCAGGTGGTGATGAAGGGAGAAATAGGCAGACAGCAGGGGAGGGAAGTCCCCCTACAATCTGTCCAGTCACCTCCTGGTGACCTCCATCCTATACTTCAATCAGACCAGATAAAGAAGAGGCCACCAGTGTCCCCCCTCTGCCCTGTCCCCTTGTCCTCTAGAACTACTGGTCAGAGAGGTGACAGCTGGGGCCTTTTCCTCCTGCAGAATATAAATGACTTCCCCCTTCCTCTCAGGGCTGGGAATAGACATCAGCTGGCACGGCCCACGCAAACTGCCGGCTGCCAGCCCGCCTGCCCGCCCGCCAGCCCCCGCACCACCTGGGAGGAGGCAACACCTCAGGCAGGCTCAGGCTGCATGGCGTTGTCTGCTTGGCTCTCCGAGCAAGCTGGAGCACCGTACGTGGCCCTCACCCACTGCTGTGGGCAGGGCGAGACTCCCTAGCACTGGCACATAATGGAGGGAGAGGAGAGGGACCCCCTGATGGAAGTGACCCCAGGTGAGCACCCCTTCCAAGTTAAGATGACACTGGTTAGCTTGAGAGGGGAGAGAAAGCAATGAGGGGAAGGATCGATCACCCTCTGCTTAGCATCCCCGCTTTGGCTGCTCGGGATCTAGAGGGCTCTTGGGAGATACCACCTGCCACAGAGCTAAGTAAGCCCTGCCTAGGGGCCTCTCGCGGGGCCTTGCAGCCTGCTTCTAGCACTGTCAAGTCATGTGAAGTCCCTTGCTCTGAGCCACCCAGAGAAGAGGGCTTGCATTTTTATTGCAAATATTGCCGGTTAGGAAGACCCCTCCTCCCGGGACCAGCCACTGCAGGGACACCCTAGGACTCCCAGGGTTTCCACCCAGCTCTCTCAACATTAGCCTGGCTGTTGCCTACGGAAGGCCCAGGCTGAGCCCGCCCGTAGCTAACTGGTCTGGCACCCAGTCCTCCTCGTGGAGGGCAGTCTGGGGAACTATTTTCCGTCTGGAAGAAGCAGGGGGCTCTGGAGGGAAGGAGGCCCAGCCCTCCTTTGCCAGCTGGCACCAAACTCAGTCCCTTCTGGGCCAAAAAGCTGGCAAGAGGTTTTTGAACTGAGGAAGCTTATTTGACAAGGGAGAGGGGAATTAGGGAGACCTGGCCTTTCCCTAGGTCAGAAGAGCGCTGCTTTGCCTTCTCAGCTCTGACTTTGTTCTGAACGCTCCTGGATGGTGCCACAAAGCCATGCGCAAGACCAGGGCAAAGCATGAGACGCTGAGGACTCTGGGACTAAGGCGGTGTCCTGTAGCCCTCAAGCCCAGATCCACTAAGCCGGAGGGTGTTCTAGAAAGACCTGTTAAGATGCTGCCCTTCTCCTCCCAAAACATTAAAGTGACATTAAAACATTAAAGTGCTTTACTGCCTTGGAGTTCAGGAACCCTTCCCTGGGCCCCTTCTCTCCACAGCACCTGACCCCATGCACCCTTGTCCAGGGGCTAAATGGACACAGATTTCCTAAAAGGCAACAAGGACAAGCCTGTCCCACCAGAGAGGTAGGGGCCGACAGACGTAAGAATCGCGTCTTAAGTCTGCCGAGCTGCTGAGTCCGTGGCCCAGGACTGGAGGGTGTTCTGGGAAAGCAACTCGACAGACTGCTTCAGACTGCTGAGGAGCCTAAGTGCGTACAACAACCTCCAAGACCTATGACCCTGATCTCCCTCTTCCCACCACATTGCACTGCTTTCTCAAAGGCCATTCAAAGAGCCATAGCTGCCAACCACGAGTAATGAGAACCCCATTCTTCATCAGGCATATGAGCAAGAAATGATTTCCAGCAAGCACCACCACCACCCATCACGCGTGTCTCCCATCAAACACAGAGGCTTTAGGTCTCCCCATCACCTTTCACTTGCGCCGAGTACCTTTCCCCATTTCGGCCCACTGAGTCATCCCTCACTTGCGAGTGGATCCATTCAAAGGTCATCAGTAGAACCACTGAGTCCAGAGCAAGCATTTCCACCTAGAGGCAGCGTTCAGAAGGACTCATACTTCCATTTTCTTCCTTGGCAAGTAGGAGCTGGAGATTTGATGCATGATCACCACGGCTGGGTAGAGGGGCAGAGCCAAGCACAGGTACCAGGCTGCACCTTTGATCTGGGCCTGGAACCACACTGAACACATGCCCAAGAGCACCGTTACCGTAGCCATCAGGTAGACCACCAGTCCACACGTCAGGTGGTAGAGTTTGAGACGTGCCACTCTTGAGACCCTGGCTTGCCGGGGACAGAGTACGCAGAGCCCACATATTGCCTGGCCGGCAGTGGCCAGCAAAGTCAGAGCCCCCAGCCAGCTGTGCCAGGACACTAGGTGGTGCAGCTCACTGCGGGTCTTGCTGGAGATGATGAAGCCCAGGCCCAGGGCTGCACAGAGGATGGCTAGGGTCTGGCCTGCCCAGTGGAGCCGGATCCTGGACTTTCGGGAGCAGAAGAAGAACAGGGAGTGCTCAGGCGAGAGGAGCAGAATGGCCTCAGCCATGCAGAGGCAGAACTGTGAACACAGGAGAGGGCCATTGAGCACCAGGCCCATCGCTCAGGCCTGAGAAAAAGAAGGCGCTCTCATATATCCCAGTAAGGACGAAGGGCGAGGACTAAAGTACTCCCCAGATCAGTGTGGGCATCAGCATTTGAGTGGCCTCATCAGTCAGGCTGTCATCCATGCCAGCCACTCCACTGCCACCCTCCGCCGCCTGTGGTTCCCTTTTTTTTTTTTTTTTTTTTTTTACCAATGGGAATAACATATGTTAAACTTTTTTCTGAACTTGAGTGTGGTGTTGTTTTTTTTGGGGGGGGGGCAAGGGATAAGTCAGTAGGTTGACATCCCTTCTACTTCCTCCTTTCAGGCCCTGGTGGAAGAAGAAAACTCTTCACTTCCTCCCACTCCCTTCAACAAACTGACATCCACAGCCCAGCCCTCTATATTTCCCAGTCTCATAGGTCACAGAAAAAAAAAATGGAGCCCTTGTATTTCCCCCACCTCTCTGCGCCTTGGAAAGGTTAAGTGAAGAGTGGATGCTTTCTTAGGGGCATCATCAAACAAATCAGCTGCACAAAGAAGCCCAAACTCACCGCCAAGGTCATGAATACAGGGTGCCAGGAGAAAAGACCTAAGAATCAAAGAGAACAGACTGACATCCAGGCACCATGGCTTCTACCCCGGTGGCTGGCTGGAGCCCAAAGAACTTAGCTAGGGGGATAAGGTCAGTAGAGCATCCCCAACCCTGGACCAGAAATCAGGAGCTCAGGGCAACACGGGGCAGCCACGAGGCCTGACCGCGAGGGCAATCATGCAGGTCCGCCCTGCGCTCCCCACCCGTCACCTCGCAGCCGTGTGCCCGTTCTCAGGGTGGACCCTGGCCTCCCAGGGTCACGGCATCCTTCTCGAGGGACGCTGCCCACGGGAGGA